AGCATCATGCTTTGAGTTGCAGACTACCGGTACGGTCTATTTGGCATTGTCAGAACAGTCTGCTAAACTTTACCAAAATTAGGTGCACAGTAATTGTTGCAGTTGTTATGGCAATGAGTTTTTATAGTGTTTGTGTTTTTGTAATGTTTTGTGTTGGTAAAGTAAATAAATAAATAACAAATAGAGCTGTATTATTATAAAAAAAAATCTTTTGCTGTTGAACCAGTACTAACCTCCACTTTGTTTTCAATGTAATCCCAGATCCCGAGCACTACAATTCTAAAGACAGTCTAAGGAAGACAAAAATAGACAAGTCAGGGAGAATTCTGCCATGTTTCAAGGTTATTTTTGATCTTTTCAGTCTTTTGAGTTATCATCCCACCAAAAAACCTTTGTGAAAGTTGATCTAACCTGTATTCTTTTTAAAATATCTGTTTCCCAAATGAAATGGAGCAATAACTAAAGTCGTGGCTATATACCGTACTGGCCCAAATATAAGATGATTTTTTTTTTGCGAAGTGAAAATGTGAGGTAATCTTATAATTGGGGTCTAACCAATCTCACAGGCCGACTGTTTTCTGGGGTAGCTACATGAACGCAACAGTAGAGGGCGCAAGTTTTTTTTTTTTGTAAAGCCAGTGACCTCACTGTGGCTGGGGTCCCCTTTCTATCACAAGAGAGAAAAAGTGACAATGATGGAGATTCACTGCCAAGAACGGAGTGGATCAAAAGTCCGACAAGTTTGCAGACGTATGAGGTCGGGTTATGATGCCACTTTCTAAAATAATGGTGGTCAAACCAGCGGAGGCATCAAGCAACTGTCAGACAGCAAAGAAAAATGGAGTTATAGAGTGCAATGTCAGAAGAGGGCACGTTAAAAAGACCAGAAAAATGCAAAAAGCTAAAGAAATGCTTATAAAAGAAATTGCAGGGCTGCAAGGTGAGAGTAGGAGTGACAGCAAGCGCAGCGAGGCAGAGGACGTCTGAGAGTAAAAGTCTTCTGCAGGTTTTTGAGACATTCCTTGAGCAAAGTTCAGATTGCATTCAAGGTGAAGTGTTGCAAGATTTCAATTAAGTGTTATTACTGTTTTTTTTTTTTACTTTTTATAATTTAATTGTACATATCTTTTCATGCAACATTAATAACAAATTGTTAGCAATTCAATATAAAATAGTTCCTTAAAATATTTTTTTTCTTTCTTTTTGGTCTTTTTATTCTGTTCCTAAAAACTGGTCCTGGAAAGAGTGGGTTGTCTTGTAATCAGGGTCATCCTATATTCGGGTCAGTACGGTAATATCTGAAGAAGTTGGATATGGTCGAACAGAATACATAAAGCTACCCAAAAAAAACAAAATACCCTAAAAAGTGAATATACAAATACAAAGGGATTGCACACCAGCCCTAATGTTAAAGGTATAGTGGAGGATGTTCTTTTTGAAGGTGGATCATCAAAATAAGTGGTCCTCCTAGGTTTCAATCATTCTGGTGATATGTTTACGTAAGACCGTCCTACGTGCTTGTCCCCATTTTCACTTACCGCTGGCGACTCTGACATAGTGGAAAATTGCAAATCTTCTTTTCGAACGTAAGCTTGTATGAGCGATGCAGACAGCAACTTTTAAACAGGGGGTGCACACATACAAATGAGCTTGTGCATGCTCTTGCACGCTTTAGAGCGGGTACAGGGTTGTGCATGTGCATTTTTTTTTTTTTTTTTTTTGTGAAGAGGACGGGTTTTTTTTTGTTTTTTTTTTGCGAAAATACTCCACTATACCTTTAAGGTTCAATCAGATGCATCCCCTGGAGACACGGTAAATACATGTAGAAAGCTGATAATGAATCAAAATTAAGCTCTTATTTTATTTAAGATGTGTCTTACCTCTGAAAAAAACAGCGACAGAATGATAAGGCTGATCCAGTGAATAACGGTGGCGAATTGGAATGCACTGGAAACTGCAGGAGAAACCACAGTATACAAACCTTAAAATGCTAATTACATTTCTATATTATGTCGTAACCCAAGCAGAGCAAACATGCATTCCTGTCAGAATAACTTTAAAGAAGGGATTTTCCACTTGTTTTAATGTTATCTGAGTGCTCATCTGTTAACTTGCAGCCCCAATAAAAACGTATTACTGCACATATTCTTTTTTCTTAACTTGCTGAAGTGGCAGGAAAGAAATAAAATTACAATAGATCAAGAGAGACTGAAATCCTACAGTCTCTGCTTTTAGACTTTATTCAGGGGCTGGATGCTGGCCAGTAATCAATGGAGATGTATGCTGGCAGTCGCTGACAAGAGACTTTGTTCATTATCACCTCACTCCAGGAGTCTACATCACAATTATTTAGCATCCAGCTCCAACAGCTCCGCTGTCAGACAGGCAACAGAATCAAAACTGGTTTTATATAATAGTGGAAACACCAAATTAGATCAACTAACATAATCATCATAGCCCCACTGTTTGACATTAAATTAGACAAAACCTTTCCTATTTCAAGTCAGTCCAATATTTTATTTGCTAATTGTTGGAATTATAAGAGAGATTTCTTTTAGAGAATTCTGAATTCCGTTCTTTAAAATTAGAAGTTAATTTGTGCAAAAACTAAATTGACTTTAAATAATTCAGAAAAAAATCAGTGATTGAAGGGTGAGCCTTGCTCCTGATAATCAGTCTGCTTCATAGCATGGCAAGGAATTATGCTGAACCAATTACACTGTGCCATTTATATACATAAGAATTTGATTAAATAACATTAAAGGATGACACCAAAGAAAGCCAAACTTTTTCCGCATACAGCTGTAGGGGCAATACATAGAACAACTCGAAGTCTTGAAATGCCACCTCTTTACTTGGTTTTTTATTTATTTATCTATTTTAATCTATTTCTGCCATTTAGATACTGAAAATGAACTTTACTTTGTTTGTTTGTTTAGTAATTGTTTACTGTTGAGAACAGCAAAGTGTTTCTCCTACATCAATATAGATGATAGCAATACCGGTACTTAAAAAACAAAACAAACAAACAAAAACAAAACAAAAAATATATATATATTATATATATATATATATATATATATATCAATTAGGTAGAAGGAAGAGTCTATGTGTTTTTTGTTTTTCTACAGTATACATTTTTTTTTTTTTGGTTTGGTGTATTTTTGGGGGCAGGGGGTGTCAGTCCACAAAAATGTAGCTTTGCAGGAAATGAGAGGATGAATTCATCCAGGACATTAAAGTTGAATTTCCAATGCATCAGTCTTGCTAGTGCTTAGAACTGCAGTGAATGCCTCCTAGGTATTTTATCAATGAGGGGAAATATGTACAAACAACAAATATTACCTTAAAAAAGCAAGAACTTACAAATCAAATTTGAGAAATCACATGCTTACATTGTAATAGTTTGGTGTCTATGAGCAACTCCAAAGACAGAAAAAGCACCACCAGAATAACGCAGGCCACCAGCACACAGTTAAAGCCAGCGCTGAGCAGGCAGACCTGCCACAGAGCCACTCGACGCCCACAGCAAGGCTTCAGCCAGTTGGACCTAGGAGAAAAGGAAAGATAGGGGGGTGGGCACATAAACAAAAAAATAAATAAATAAAACATCACCAGCATGTTACATCTTGTTTGAGTAAACTGAATATTAAAAAAAAGATAATAAATAAGTCAAACTGAATCTCAAAGATTACAAACTAAAGATTCTGCACGCTATTCAAACTTTAATCTAAAAATACATATATGTTATTATAGAAACCCTTCTGTTTAAACAAGCTGTTGTTTTAGAGCCTTAGATTGAATTTCCAGATATGTCCAAGAGAGGGTGTCAGTTTACACTCATGAAAGGTGAAGTCTATTCAAATCAATGCAAGGTTAGGGGCGAACTGAGATCCGAGACAGCACTGACAGAGAGAGGGACAATGAGGCTCTGTGAAACACTATTTTCACTATCTGCACTGTGACCAGAATAATGATGGACTTCTCTTTACATGGCAATGAAGGGAGTCCCTGTAGAAGATGCTGCTAAGAAGGAGGGGTCTTCTGCTCTGCACAAAATGTGGCTTAAGACAGAAGACAGACTATGTGATATAAAAGGGAGGAAACCAACATGCAAATTGCTTTAAAATGACAAATTAGAAAATAACAGTTTTAATAATTTCAATAATTTTGTGTTAATTGTGATATTCATCCTTTTTTTTTTTTTTGTATTCTTCTTTATTAATATGGCAGTTATTAAAGAAGGAAGCTATTAAAGTGTCTGGCAAAAATGTATGAATGCTCTTTTGAAATACAACGTTGCTCTTACTGACTTGTCCATATCAGATACAAAGGCCAGCATCCGGAGCTGAGAAAAACAATGCCTCTTTTCCAGATTTCCAGCTGGAATGGAAAGTTGGCTCTGCCTGCTACCTTTCCAATCTCCCCATGCTCTGGCATGGAAGAGGCAGACTTTGGCAGAGCTTTCCCCTCCTCTGATCATGTCTTCATTCCCTGGCATGTTGCTAATATGAGCTGCAGCGATGGCAAAGTAGCTCAGTCATCACTGCAGCCTCAAAAATTGTTTTACACCACACATCATTGAGCATTTTGAAGTTTTATTCCAAATAATGGTAAAAATAGAATCGTTTTATTTGATGCTGAAGTTACAATTCAAATATGTCTCAGCCTTTGAAATGATCTAATCAGCAATACATTTTTATCAATTCATAAAAAAAAGTATCCTTTACCAAAAAAAGTAATTTAACCATCAAACACAAATGTATGGGGACTAGATGGTGCGTTTCTAAAGACGAGGATCTATATCTTGCAACTGTATAGTTGGAAGGCTATAATATCTTTTGCTTTTTTTTTGTTCTGTTTTATTGTTTCTTTTTTATTCTTGCCTTAAATTTAGCACATAAAAAAGTCTTGCAGCCATTTCAGAAACTGATGGGGTAGTGGTGCACCGAATCTCAGCGTTCTTGCATTAGCTGGCACTAGCACCTCTGGGACAGGCACATGAAGGCTGACTTCGGAGTGCAAAATAAAGCAGTCTGGACTATATCACATGCCTCTGTGATATTTTAAAAAAAAAAAACAAAAAAAAAAAACAAAAAAAAAAATCAATGAATAAATAAACAGCATGATTAACAAAGGATCACAACATTACAATGCACCAGCATATTTGATTTATTAAGTATATATAAGTATAGTGGAGGATTTTCTTTTTGTGGGTGGATCATCAAATAGTGGTCCTCCTAATTGTCAATTATCATTCTGGTGACATCATCCCCATTTTTACCCACCGGTGTTGAGTCTGATATAGTGGAAAAATTTAAAATCTTCTTTTGTAAAGTAAACTTGTATGAGTGATGCAAACAGATAACTTTTAGACAGAGTGTGTACGAGGAGAAATGGGCTCGTGCACGCTCTTGCATATGTTTAATAGATATTCCGTCTCGGGAGGGTGTACAGGGTTGTGCATGTGCATTTTTGAGGAGTGGAGAGCAGAGTCTGTTAAAAAATTTGCAAACTCCTCCTTTACTTTAAATGCATAAATAATGCTTAAAGAGACATTATGTAAGTTTTTACTGAAAAACATCTTTAAAATTGCATTTTTATTTGACCCTTTATAACCAAGCATTTGATTAGCAGACTAATACCTTGGTAGTTTAGAGCAGATTAACCTATAAACCTCTGAACTATTTTCCCTGAATTTACTACGGGTCAGAAGTTCCGACTCTGTTCTGTGGATGAGATCAACAAAATAGCTAACAACGTATTTAAGCTCAATAACAACCAAGTTCCATTAAAAGCCAATTTAGCTGCAAGCTAAACAAGCTCTCAGAATTAAACTTTATATGCAGCACAAAAAATAAGCACCGACCATTATTCTGAATCTGTGCGTTCTTGCTTAATTTGTTGCTAGATGTGGCTGATCCCACTACCAGCAAGTGAAACATGTAATTTATCATGAGCCTATTTAAAGCATGAGATAAAAAGCAATTGCTCTGACCACCCCTTCCTTATACTCCCACAGACACACCTACCTTGAGTGCAACCTCAATACTGCTTTTAAACTGAGCTTAGGTTGTTTTTTTAATATATTTTTAGGATCCCCAAATGGGACTGTATTATAAAGTCAAGCCTTTCCGTCCACTTTACATTCTTTAAATAGTTATGTGCATCGACAGGTGGACACAATTATCAGTTTTTCTCAGTGTTGGTCAGACTTACTGCTGCATTTCCGGCAAACGACAGAGGATGATCAAAATACTGGACTTCTGTTGGTCGGTTTGAATAAGGTTTAGGGTTAGCTCTGTCCCTTGTGTTCATCATCCTCTCAGATCTTTATTTAGCTTGCAGAAATTCATCATCAGTTAACACCTATGACAGCAGCATGACTTTAGTGTTGCACTGTTTTTTGGTCAGCTCTTATCATCTGACAACCTTTAAAATGTGCAGAAAATGTAATAGTCATCCATTCTGATGCTAGGAGGCATTTTGCCCTCAAGATTTAAATGACACATGATGAATAAAACACGGATTGTATGTGGAGTATAACAATTCTAACTTAGGACAGTTATTGTGCACAGCTTGACTAAATTAGTAACTTGGATTTTAAATTATTATGGGGCTTATTACACAGTTGGCATTCTTTACTGTTATTTGCTGGAAATTACTTAGCAATCCTGAGTTACCTATTTTTTTACAAATAAATGCTGATTCAGGTCTGTATGCCTAGGGTTTCATAAATCTATAACCAGAGAACTGTCTGAAAGGTATAAAATCCACATTTTAGGTTGGTCAGAGAATGTTTGGAAATATAGTGTATATTGAATAGTAATTAGCATAACTAATGGAGTTCCTATGTCCTCATTTTTAAAATATCTGGATGTTTAAATGCATTAGTATGAAATTAATTCAAAATGTTGCACTTAACAAATAACTCCCAGGACCTTTATTAATGACCAAATGGCTTAATCCAAAAGAGGATGTTTGAAATTGACTTTGAACAAATCTAAGATAAATGTTTCATCAGATTAGATGTTTCCAGGCATTCACTATTAGTATTGATCATCACAGACTTACACTAAATGCCGATTGGCATGGACCCAGGCTGGAAAGGAGGATTTCTCAAACCATTTACAGTACATTTCAGATGCACTTTAACACAAAATTGTTCAAAATGTTTCATGGGTGGCTGAGAATTATGCTTTTAATCAAAACATAACAATTAGCTGAGCCAGGGGGGAACCCTCTAGAAAGCATAATTGCAAAATCCAAGATTTTAGCATATTCTTTTGTACATTAAAAAAAAAAACAGTGGGAATTATAAAAAAAACTGTGCATTGCAATCTCATAACTATTTTGCAACTTAAAAAAGCATAGCAGTTACATTATATTTGTATATTTCTATATCAAAGAATTACTAAACACACCGAGACAGAAGGATGCCCATAAGGTGAGGCAGATGTCAGATATTCTGAACTACATGCCAACCTTTACAAGATGAGGATGAAATTTTCCTTGTGACATCCCTGACCTACTTTTCCAAAGAGAGTGATAGAACGGATCTTTTTCTCTCCTTTTTGTCCCCTGAAAAAAAAATATCACCAAGTTTTCAGCTATTATTTTTTCTATTATACTCATTATATTAAGTAACAGAAACAGCAACAGCTGTAAGAATGCTATTCTATGTGTTCTAAATATATGTGAATATGGACCTTCCCAAAGAATATGTCGTCATTTAAATGCTGATAAACTATGCAACAGAATGTTTTTTGCAGAAGTGCAGACTTTCAGCTATTTATAAATATGGTACTCATAAAAATAACTTCTGTAAATTTGCCTGACAGTGCATTAAAACATGACAAAACTATTCATTAATCAAGCAATCCCCTTGAATGCAAGTTTAAAAATGCAAAAAAAGAGGTCACTGTGTAAGCAAAAACTAGAAAATTGTGTCACTGAACCAATTTCAGCACAGAATCGTGCCTTTTTATTTCCAATATAGAATTTTGGACCTTTGGCACAAAGCTGGTAGGTGATATGGGAGAGAGGACTTTTTTTATTTCCTGCTGCTTCGTACAAATTTAGATTAACCATCTGGTGTTGGTGCCTAATCATGGACTCCTTGCACATTTGGACCAGTCACACCAACATATGCTTCTGTTTCAGCGCCTGGCAGCCACACATCCGTCACTAGGATGGGATGTGACATCACTCCACTGCTCAGGTGCTAACTTGTAATTTTAATCAGCCACACAAGGTGGATTAATGAGCTAGTTTGGCAACTTGAAAAGAAAATTAACCAAACTTAGACTGTAAATATTGTGTTAATCCAAATTCCCTATTTTCAGACAGTAAGGCAATGTTGCTAATCTGGTCCTTTTTGCAATTAAAGAATCCTACCATGGATTCGTTAGGGAGAGAAACTAAACAAAGTACACTTATATGATAGAATAGTTCAACCAAAATGGAAAATTCAGTGCTTGCCAACACTTTCTTTCTAGCCATGCTGAATGTTGGCTATTTTACATAGAGGAGTGAACCAAATGTTTAGGC